CCAGTGCATCCAAGTGCAAGGTCCTGAACCTGGGCTGGCAACACCTGATATCAATACAGGCTAGGGGATGAGGGAATTGGCAGCAGAAGTAATTACAGAAGAACTTGGAGATCCTGGCTGTTGGAAGGCCAGCCTTGTCCCAGCAATGCATGCTTGCAGTCCAGAATGTATCCTTGGCTGCATCAAGAGCAGCATGGCCAGCAGGCCAAGGAAGACCAGTCTGCCCTTCTACTCCTCTGAGACGCCACCTGCAGTGCTGCATCCAGCTCTGGAGTCCTCAGCACCTGACAGGCACGGACCCACTGGAGAAAGTCCAGAGGAGGGCCACAAAAATGATCAGAGGGCTGGAGCAGCTCTCCTATGAAGAAAGGCTGAAAGAGATAACATTGTTCAGCCTGGAGAAGAGAAGGATCTGGAGAGAACTGTCTGCTTTTGTTTAATACTGAAGAGGAGCTTACAAGACAGAGGAGGACAAACTTTTTACAAGGGCCTTCTATGACAGGATAAGAGAGTTAACTAAAAGAGAGTAGATTAAGACGATACCAGCAAGTAATTTTTTACAATGAGGGTGGTAAAACACTGGAACAGACTGCCCAGGGATAGGAAATGCCCCATCCCTGGAAATACACAGAGTTAAGCTGGACAGGGCTCTGAGCAACCTGATCTGTTTGAAAATGTCCCTCCTTATTGCAGAGGAATTTGGACTAGATGACATTTAAAGGTCCCTTCCAACTCAAACTATTCCAAGTCTGTGAAAAAAAAGTAATGCACTCCATATCAAGCAGTCAAGTGACACATCAGTTAAAGTTGTCCTATATCCACCACCACTGTAATCCACCTCTGAGTGACAGTCCCACTTCCATCATACTACATAAGATAAACGTGATTCTCAGAAGCAATTTATGTTAGTACACACAGCATGTTTTTAAAGTTATTTGAATGGATGCAAACAGCAATGCTTATCAATGAAAAGTACTGGTACAGCTACATACTGTGAATGCTCTTTTCAAGCCACCAGAAAAAAAAAAAAAAAAATTCAAAGCTCTGCTTTGCTAACTAGAAGTTTCTCTAAAAAAGCCAATATCTACTTCTGTTCTAAGGAAACGCAAGTAGCTTCAAAAGAAGCAGATCACCCCTCTTACCTAAGATAGTGAAGTGAGGGTCCAGAAGGAAGCCACCCATTTAGTTCCACTCAGCAGAACAACTGCAGCTTCTCCTAATTCTTCACCACTCTGTAAAATACGGGTAAAGAACCATGCAGGACGGTAATGGAAAGAGTATCGGTAAAGACTGACTTCCACACCCTTCCTCCATTCAGCAGTTTGCATAATACAGGGAAGCAGGCTCAACCTATTAAAGTAAGTAAGAAGTAGTTAATGCTTCCTTTAAGAGATTCATTCATAAGAGTATTTGTTAGACAGAACTATGATAATATTTAATTCGTAATGTAATTTTGCACCCAGCAAGTTATTTTGTCAATAAGCTCTATCCCTCCTAACCACAGGAAGGTGCAGCTATTCAAAAATAGCAATTTAAAGTGCTATTTAGTCAGATGTTACATTGCCAAACCTGAATCCTGAATCTCAACATTATTTTTCATATTCTTCCTATGAGGTTATTTTCCTGAAGAAATGTGTCACCAGCTGCCGTAGTTACTGAAGTGTTGCTTCATTGCAAAATGTTACCTTTAGACTGTATTTGCTGACTTTCTGCTAACCAACCAGATACCTTATACACATTACTATTCCCATGAACCAGCCTTTTTTCAAACTTTAATTCACGGGCAACCCAGCTTTATGAGGCCATCAGGCACTGCCTGCTAATACAAGAAGTTAAAGCAGTAAATGTTAAGGTCAAAGTATTTAAAGTGACAAAATTCACTTCAAACATGAGATTTGCTCACTGCTGTTGCCTCTGGGAACCAGCTATTTAGTACAGCTTATAGAACTTCTGGGAGGGAGGAATTTTTTTTTAGAAAGTAAACAACATACTCTAGATTTTTTCATTACAAACCCTGATAGTAAAGTATTATTCCCCTCCTTCCAGGTACAGATCAGAATTTGATTAGTGACAGAAAACCTTTTACACTGCTTCTCTAAAAAATTCACAGCTTAAATACACTGGATACTTCAGAAAAATTGTAAAACACACCTCTTTTGTTTAAAAATCAATATAAATTCATTAATTAGAGTGAAGACTTGGCCCATAGTGCCAGAAAGGAAGATTGATGCTGGAAATAGGATCTATGCCTACACACTTCATGAAATATATTCCTTTTTCCCTCAATTGCATGTTCTATTTTTAAAAATTAGTGGCCTTCATCTTCAGGTGTATGAGTACACCGGTGTGGGGAGGGAGAAAGACATTTCCTGCATTTAAAAGAAGATTAATTCTCTCTGGACATTCACTAAGTAAATGAAAACTAAAAGTAACAGGGCGGAGTGGGGGGAAAAAATCTTTCCTGCGTAGCAAAAATTAGGATGGTGCATATTTACAAAAACACAAAAACTGAATTTTTTCCATGGTAAGTGCCATATCATGAACTATGCTAATCACTGTTTATAGAAAATGTTATATGTTTATAAATGTTCACAATTAAACATGTTTCTAACTTAAAACTCAACTCTGGTTAAGCAGAACCTGTGAATTCTGAGAACTAGTGAAGAATATGTCAAGAAAGGACAATCATAGTGAAACAAGCATGATTTTATACTGTGCGTGCTGGATCCTGGTGGTACACATAACATTTTATACTTTCAAAAGAGAAGTTAAATGATATGAAAAAGAATCAGGTTTATTTTCTCAAGCTGATTAAAATGATTGGGGACTATTTCCAGGTGCTCTAACACAGACTCCAACAGGCTGAGAACATCCCTAGACGTATTCAACATATACACACAGTTTTCAATTCCATTCACAAAAGAATCATCATTCCCATGATTTTAAACAGCAGCAACAATTTTAAAAAAAGGAAAAGACCAGAAGTCTCATTTGTTATTTTAAAAAAAGGAACAAATCCGCACAACTTTAGAGCTCTGAGGAGGACTTGGACTGAGAAATTTAGGCTTTAAAACACACTGCTGTTCAAGCCTGACTTTTTTTACCAAGTCACAGAACCATACCCTGAAATATACCTGAACAAATCAAATACTCATTTTGGTATCTAGCTTGGTGCTTTTGTTTCTATATTCTTGGGAGATGCTCAGGACACTCCAATGAAGAGAAATAGCAAACACCTCCGATAAAAAAAATGAACTTCTTAATTCCAGGAGGAAAGATGCTACATTAAATAGCAAACACTTAGAGTGGAATGGAAGGTACTTGTAAAAGAGAGATTAAGCATCTATAACATTGTACAGAAATAATTTAACTTAAAAGTATCAGCTCTGTAATTGTAACTAGTGGACTAGGTTTTCTTTCACTACTTTTCTGTACAGAGTTGACAGAATGATACTGCACCACAAACTGCATCTATTCTAAAAGACAAACACATGTGATAGTTTTCTCTGCACATCCATATCAATTTAGCAATACACATTCCCTACTTTCAATTCAACACACTCAATTAAACTGAGTTTTGCCACATTTTCAAATTTCTCAAAAGTACCTTTAACTGTTTCCACAATGAAAGGTTACAGCTATTCAGAGCCAACATTTAAACCAAGCAGTTTGTGAGAACTGTAAGCCCATTTGCCAGCAATTTTCATTCTTATCAAGTAGTATGCCTCTCTCTATCTCCAACACTTCCCTCTCCCCCATCATAAGTGTCTAACAACACAGTTACAAGTCAGAGCGTGGCTTCTTCCTTAGCAGGTAATCTCTCTAACTGGATGCTATTTGCATGAATTAGGAACTTAATCTTATCTTTTAGACCTCTCCCTTTCAAACCAGTCAGCTACTCAAAAAAAAAAAAAAAAAAAAGAAAAAGAGAAAGATAAATTGACAATACAATCACGCAGGTCCCACTTTGTTAAGAAATCAAAGCTAAAATCGGGTACAATTTTCCACTGAGAAACTTTCTGTAGACATGCAAGAAGCATGATAAAACCACTCTGTGAAGCTGATTTCTCACAGGGCTTCAGGTTTGCAGACTCTTACTGAAGCAGGTAAGTTTCCATACAGAGGGACCATCCCTGAAGCGATGTGTAAGACACACGCTAAGCCCCAGAATCAGACCCACACATTACACAGAAGGAAACATAAACAAGTATTTCCATTAACTGCAGAAAAAAGAAACGGAATAACTAGAAGTCTATAAATTACAGGTACTTGTCACTTAAAGGAGAATTGTGAAATATGTTCTGTTTCTTAAGCAGTAGTAACTGCTTAAGAATGACCCCAACACATCACCTTAGACATCTGATTTACAAATCAGCAGTGAAGTGTAACATCCCTTAACAGAAATACTGTGGATATGTTTAAAAACTGAAGCCCAGAAAGTCCTGCAGTCAGGAGCGACAGACAGATCATATGCATCAACAAGGCAGCCTGCTCACAGGTTCAGATCCAACTCTTCAGACTGGACAGAAGGTAACACCAGCAAAATGCTCAGACCCACTTGGCCAAGCAGGCCTTAGCCACTAGTTAAGAGACCCTCGCAGTACTTCCCACTCCGGCAGCCGGCCGCGCCGACAGCCCCGAGCCGTCCCATGCCCACAGCAGCCCCGAAGAGTAGTCACCGAACCGGGAAACTGAGGCAGGGCAGGCTGGGTTCACCCAAGGTCGCCTAGCGAGCCCGGTCTCCCGGGGGGCGGGAGAAGCTCGGAGCCACCCGCCCGGCCGGCCTTCCCGGCGCGGCCCCGCACCCATGTGTCTCACGGCGGGGAAGGAGAGGACCCCGGGGCTGCCGCCTTCCCCTCCCCGGCGCGGGGGAGCTGGCAGGGCTGCCTCCCTCCCCTTCAGGGCCGGCGTGAGCCGGGCGCCATCCCCGCTCCCGGCCCTGCGCAGCGCTCACACCGACCTGGGCACCTCGGCTGCTGCTCCCGGGCGCTCCCGCCGCCACTGCCGCCCGGGCTCATGCGGGGGCCGCGCCGCACTCGGGACCGGGCCGCGGGCGAGAAAGAGGCGCCGCCGCTGCTGCTGCCGGTGTCGCCGGAGCCGCGGCCTGGCGGGGCGGGGAAGGCGAGGCGGGGGGGGGGGGCCGGTGTCGCCGGAGCCGCGGCCTGGCGGGGCGGGGAAGGCGAGGCGGGCGGGCGGACGGCCGGGCCGGGCCGGGCGGGCGCGTCTCCTCCTCCTGCTCCTGTGTCGGCCGGGCCGCGCTCAGCGCGAGCCCCGCACCTCCATCTTGGGACAACGCGGATGTCGGCGCGGCGCAGGCTCGGGGCGCGCGGGGGGGCGCGCGGGAAGGAGGGAGGGAGAAAAGGAGGGCGGACCGGCCGTGTCCCGGCGTGCAGCGCGGGCGGGGGCGAGGCGAGGCGAGGCGGCGGCGCGCTACCCACCGCGGGCAACCATAGAGAGCTGCCGGGCCGCGCCTTCCGGCCGTGTGCACTCGCGGCGGCGCCCGGCGGAAGAGCGGAGCGGCGGCAGCGCCGACGCCTGCGCGCCCGGGCGCGCGAGGCGGGGGCCGCCATGTNNTCTGCGCGTGCGCTCGCGCAGGGTGCGGGGGGTGGGGCGGTGTGAGGGAACGGGGGCATGCGTGACGGGCGCGGCTGTAACTACACGTATAGATACACGTACACACACATGTGTGCGCACGCACGTATACGTGTACACAAGCATCTGCAAATATAAACATATAGACGCGGGTGCACACGCAGTGACCCACACACAGGTGCCGAGGGAGGCCGGCGGGCAGTCCAGAGACTGGTGGCACAGCAAGAGGCCATCGCTGCCGTGGGCAAGGAGAGTGGCCGCAGCCAGCTCTGAGTCCCTCGGCAGGTCCCCGCCGAGCTCCACCGGAGTCCAGCCTGTCCGCCAGGCCGCGTGGCAGCCCGCCCAGGGTTTATCGCGTTTAATCTGGGCAGGGAGCCGTGGCCGGCTGGCAGAAGGGAGCAATGGAAGGGGAGCGGCCGGTGGGTGACCTCTGGAGAGGAGCCCGTGCTGGAGCCATGAGTCAGCCAAGGCCTGAGAGGACAGGCAGTGCCAGGCCTGGCCAGCCCTGCCGTGTCCGAGGGAGGAGAGGACGGGAGACCGAGAGCTGGGTGACCCATAGGTGGCAACGCGTGAGGACAGCCTTGTTGTCCCAGCCTGCAGCGCTGGGCAGAGAGCCACCACGGTGTAAATTTAGGTCATCAAATGCCTGGTGTTATTCAAAACTAGCACCCTGGGGGGCACAGAGGGCAGAGCTGGCTGGTCAGGCTGGAAGGGTCAGGGACTGGGACCCGGGGATGCAGCCTGAAGGGTGGGCAACACACCCTCTGGTCCTGTGCAGCCCTGCCTGACACCTGGCTCTCCCCTCTGCCCCATGCATAATTTTTCCGTGTCCTCTTGGGTTCCTTCCCCTACCTACACCCAGGCCTATGTGTTGCAAGTACACTTTTTGTGTGGTGTTAAAAGCACGAGTAAAGGTTGTGTTTTGGCAAGTGAGTGTTAAAAGCAGTTTGATTAAATAATTTTAAAACTGGGCAATGCATGCAAAATTTTACTTTTTTTGGACACTGACTTTTTAAAGCTTGAAATATATGGAGCTACAAGCATAGAAGGGGAGAAAGAATAAGTAGAAAAAAAAAAAGGAAAATAGACTCTTGTACGTAATCCCTTAATAAAGGCAATTAAATAGAGGTACTTCTATTTAATTAGAGAGATTATGCTTGTTTTGTTTTGAAAATCATAGACTAGAAATATGAGTAGTTCTCAAATGCTAGAATAAGCTGTTAAAACCATAAACACACATTCTCAAAAATATGATACTAAAGCCAGGCTCTGGACTAGGAAAGAGGTGTTTAGGAGGACATGTCTTCTTGGGCACAATTTTGCAAGACCTATTGTGTTTGTTTCAGGGTTACAGCTGGTAAGACGAGGGGACTCAAATGGCATTATTACAAACCAGTGCAGAGAGTCCTGGTGCTTGCAGAGGACATGGTGGGCAGGTATCATTGAAATATTAAGACTGAATGAAGTATTCTTTTACTTCAGTGTGGTCTGAAAGCAGGGTATATTGCTGTGTTCAGATGAACATTGGTAATCATCTAAAAATAATCACTGGCATGAGCACAGCCTTCTGCATCTGGAGGCTCTCTCCCACATAGTAGCAAAACCTGCCAACTTTCATGTATTAAAATTTCAGATTCAGGCCAAAGTTTGTTGTGCCGTGATCTTTCCTGTTACCTCAGAAGCAGTAATATTGAAAAAACTGCATCTGGAAAATGCACTGTCTTGCTCCTTTTCCCTTGCTCTGTTGCAGAGCCCACGTGTCCAGTCCTTACCTCCTGCTTAACTGTAAGGATGCTATGGGGCAGAATGTCACAAGCTCAGTCCAAGTAAACTTCTGCTCTCTTTTTCTGAAGGAACCTGCAATTATGAGGAAGGAGCAGATGAAATGTGCAGGATGCATTGAGCTACTGTGGATGCTGGTGGTTATTTATTGCACTGGCTAGATGCAGAGGTAGGGGAAGGAGACTTTTCTGATGCAGAAAAGGATGCAGGTGTGGGAAGACTCACCTTCTGTTTTGAGATGTGGGACAAAACACATGATGAACAGGCAAAAAATGATACATTAAGGAATATACCCCAAACTAATTGCAGTATAGCAGTGTTGCACGGATGACCAAGCTGCATGACGGATTTTGTTTTGATTCTTCCAGGGACAAGTTCCATTTTGGGGGAAATACTAGATCACTTTTAGGTTTTGTAGCATGTGTGGGTCTTCTTTTTTTACTTTGAGATAGTGTGACTAGCAGTAGACTAATTGTGGCTGTTGATGTACCTAAGTTGCTTGTGTTACAATGGGGATGATTGTACTTTCCTGCCTCATGTAAGTGTGTTACATATTCTGAAGTGATGAGATACTAGGGTTCAGAAATGCTTTTGTTGCCATGAGTGCTTTCAGCTACTTTACATTGGTATAGCCAGCTGCTGGAAAGCAACTGGATCTGCCCAGCTGATCAGGCTCCGAATTTGTAGAAATGTGACTGGAACTCCCAGTGGAAAGGACACCACTCCCTCCCTGCTTCCTTGCTAATTCCTACAACTCTAGGGCCTGGGTATGGACTGCAGCTGAAGAGAACAAATGGTTTGACTGCCTTTTGCAGTGATCCCTTCACAGAGCAGGCTCTGGTGAGATGCTTCAATTACATTATTGAAGTAATGCTTGGTAAAAGAGTAAAAACCAACTATTATGGCAAATAACTTGGTCCTGAAATGAAAGTCCTGCAGAAAATCTAGTTTTAACATCAGAATATTTGGAAACAAATAGGTTTTTTTAACTGCTGAAGGGAACAAATACAATTTGTCTCACAGACAAGCTGTATGGAATAGGCAGTGGTTCCCAGCAGGAGGAAAAAGGCTTTAAAAATAGAATCCCAAGCCTCATCCACAATTTACTTATGATGCTGGAGAAATGCCATCGTGAACCAAGTCTGCTGCATATTAATTTCAGTAATGTTGATATCTCACTTCAGAACTTTGTAGCAAATAGTTTCCTGTCTTTGTAAACACACACAGAGTGCTGTGTGTGTTCTGTTCTCATTTAATTTGAAAACCCCAGTATAAATGGTTTGATAATACTTCTTTTGGCATTCATTTCACAGAGTTATGTGAGTGAAAATTAGATAGTGCAGCTCTGCAAGTGTAACCCCTTAGGAGACAGGGGTGCGCTGAAGCGTACAGAGACTTTGTGAGTCAAGCCAAATGCTTCAGCATCCCTTTGCAGATAAACAGATAAGGGAAAAGGTCATCAGTGATGGAATGAAATACTGAAGTTTTGAGATAGGGCTTAGTCTGGGCAACCGGAAGATTCAAGAAATCGTCTTTATGCAGGCATTTCTGAAGGGCTGTGCATACTTCTGAGTCCTGAAAAGCAGACTTGCTCTCCCTTTTCTCTATACAAATAGATGCTTTGGTTAAGCTGTGATGTGAAGGTTCCTGTCGTCTTGAAGTGGCTTCTGTTTCTTATCTAGACTTATCTAGATCGAGTGAGGTTGTTTCAGTTCCTCCCTGTAAGCTGAGGGAGGTTTCACAATTCATTTGCTGAAATAAGCTTGTCAGGGAGAGTCTTGTTTCCCTGAATGTTTTGCCCAGCCCAGTGGCCTCTGGAAGGAAATGGGGTGAAAGGAGAAGCAGCTCACATGGATTTCTTTTTCTACAAGTCCATTGTATCATCCTTCTGCAAGCCTTGCACTTAGGTCCTCCAGTCTTCTTGTACATGGAGCAGATTACAGGCAATTTCAGTTCTTTCTCAGGGGCTGAGAGGTTTGTGGTTTGCTGCAGGTTTTCATCAAATTTCCCTTGGTCACCTGCACACATGAACTGGAAATGCTCCTTTTTTGACCATTCTGCAGTTTTTGGTAATTTTTTTTTTGTCTTTTTACTTGCTGTTGTGTTGTATTACATATTTTTCTACATTCACAGTCTGAAAGACATATCTTTTTTCAGAAAGAAGTCTTGAGCAATTATAGCTGTGAAAGATGCTTAGGAACACTGCTTTTGTTTACTCAGAGATTTTGTGGGGACACCTTGGTATGTTTTGCAGCACTCAACACAGCTGAAGCTGCCTTGCATTACATAGCTGTGCAGGTTTGGGCTAGCCATTGTTTTGGTTGTAGAAGAGGAGCCTGACTGACAGCTGTTTTTCTGACCACATGCTTACTTTTTTTTCCCAAGATATATATAGAAGTCTGATTTGCTGAGCAGAGCAAAATGGCTTTGTGCAATTAATGTGATGTGCTTAATAATGCTTCTAAGGATGCAGGCAACTGCATTTATAAACCTGCTGTGGCTAAAAAAAAAAAAAAAAAAAAGTAAAATTTGACAAGCAATCCCAGTGCAAATATGTGTTTTTCTAAAAAAGGGACCACGTAGTGCCTAGTTGTAATGTTGCTTTTGAGAAAGAGCACTCTATTTTTCCAAGAGAACTTGTGTCATGCCAGAAACTCACTTTTTCCTTGGATTATCCTACACAGTGACAAATTTAATTTATGACTTTTTTTTCTTCTTTGTAATTTTAATGTCATTATTACTTTCCTATTTAAACAGCTCATTCCTTGAATACAGAGTATGGTTTGGTCATTAGCACTGCAGTGACACCTTGGTGAAATCAGGTTCAACCAGCTCTCCATATTTTTTCCAGTCTATAAATTATTTTTAAAAGGTCATCATGACATAATTGAAAAGCTGAAGGCTCAGGTGATTAGTATCAATATTCAGCTTTCTCCACCCAGTTGTTTTATAAGGTGCTTTACTATTACTGTTGTCTGGGGAGGTTTCAGTTTGAAAAGGGCATTCACGAGGGGTATCTGCATGAAGATGAAACCTTATTTAGCTTGAGAAGAAATAGCATCAACCACAGCTCCAACATCTCTTGTCTTAGGTGCAAGAGGATGTTAGAAGACAAGCCTATCCCCCCTCCTTTCTTCAGCAGCAGTACTCATTTTACTGTAGATGTTGCCACTGCAGATCACACCAGGTACAGCCACACACCAAGTTCAATCTCCTGTAGCTATAAGGACCTACCCTGCAGTATGACCTTACTCTAAAGGTAGAATGTACAACTCACAGCATTTCTTCAGCAGTGTATAAACATCAGATGCTTGGCTGGCTGCCCCTCTCAGGAAAACAAGACTGATGGGGAAGAGGATGGAGAGCTGAAGCTGCTTTATGTGCCTTGTCACAGTGAATTGCCTGGGTTTAGTATCAGGTGGAAGTTTAATTCCTGTATTTTGTGTCTTGCTGCCTGTCTTACTTCCAAGGAATATCAGAGGAGAGCAAGAGGGACAAGGGTCTAGGAGGCATTGATCATTGAAGAGTGTACCTGGGGAGAAGAGGATGAAAATGTTAATTTGTTATCTAAAAGGGTATGACTATGTTTGAACCCAGAGGTTAAAAGTAGTACAGTTGGTTTGTGTCCTGAGGCAACCACTATCC